ACAATAAAGTAACTTCAGAATGCCTGGCATGAAAAGAGGAATCGGGTCCGGGGCATGTAGATCAGTGAAGGAAAGGCTTAGCATATTCAAGGTTCTGGGCTCAATTCCCCACCTCAAACCAACTCACCAACCAACCAATCAACCAAAAGCAAAACCAGCAATGGGATGGATTTTAACTTTCTCCCATGATGATCTTCAACCTCAGTATCGTTCTATCAGCTTATCCAAACCAAAACACAATAATGTTATTCTGCATCTTCCTTTCTCAGACTTGGGAAGATGATAGCACTATTTTCCCACTGGGTGGGCAGCCAGGGAAGGGGACCCCAGCAAGATACAAGGCCTCCCCAAATCCTAGCCTGCTCCAAGGACCTATCATCCATACTGCTCACTCACCTCCTTTCTGTTGACCCAGATACCGCATGGTTTCTTTGTGGCCCTTGTTCTCCCAGGCTGAGCTAAATCTCTTATCGAGAAGGCATCAGATCCATTTGCCACCGGAGGCTGCCAACCTACTTATTTGCTCTAGACCTGCCCAGCAAAGGGTGGCTCCCCCAATTCTCATTTCCGTGGGAACCTGCCCTGGAATCCTGCCCCTCTCCTCTTCCTTCGCTTTGATGTGTGCCGATGGCAGCAGGGCGGAGACTTTGCAAGCCATGGATCAAGATGGAGTTAATCAAAGTTGGCAGAAAATCCCGCCTCTGCCATAATTAAGCTGCCCCTTGGAAAAATTTTTCTTAATTACTGAAAATTGCTTAACTTTCTGGAACTTCAGTCTTTGCTTTGGCATAATGCAAATAACATTCACTTAAGGGGAGACTGATTGGGGTATATTGTATACATACCTCATGGAAATGTCATTGTGAAACCTTCTTCACACAACTAATGTATTCTAATAAGAAACAACATACTACCAAAGGTCCACACACACACCTGGGTGGGAGGGGGTATGAAAATGTTTTGTTTTGATTTTCTTTTGTGTGTGTGTGTATGCGTCCGAGACCAGATCTTAAACTTGATATCTGGCTGGTGTTCTACCATGCCTCCAACCCTGGAAATATTCTTAAATGGCTTTCATTTAAGGATTTTAAACTTTCTATAAAACCAGAAGGGAAAAATAAACTCTGCAATCAAATGCATATTTCTTGTATTTGCTTGGACCCACTGGTTAGAAGACCTGTATTATGTCTTAAAATACCAAAAACGATCAAGGTAAGGGCTGGTGGCTTGCTCCTATAATCTTAACTCCTCAGGAGACTGAGATCTAGAGGACTGAGGTTGAAAGCCATCTTAAAAAGTCTGTGAGACACCAACTCCAATTAACTAGCAAAAGGCTGAAGGTGTGGCTCAAGTGGTAGAATGCCAGCAAGAAAGCTGAGCAAGAGAACAAGGCCCCCAGTTCTAGCCTCCCATAAAGACGATACCTTGATGAACAAAATGAATAAGACAAAGCTTTCTCCAGAGGTATCTGGATGGCCAACAAGTGCATGAAAAAACAGTCACTGATAATCATTAGGGAGATGCAAATCAAAACCACAATCAAAAGCTGGGTGTCGTGGCTCCCATCTGTAACCCCAGCTGTATGGGAAGAGATTGGGAAGATAGAAGTTCAAGGCCAGCCCAGGCAAGAAGTTATCAAGACTGAATTTCAGCCAGTAGCTGGTCAAGTGAAGCAGGAAATCCTAAGGACTAGGAACTGGCTCAAATGGTAGAGCACCAGCCTAGCAAGTCCAAGGTTCTGAGTTCAAGCCCCAGTCCCCAAAAAAAATTGAACATGTATTAATACACAACAGAGTATGTGGAGACTAGTTTGATAGGGTGAAAAGAGCTGCTTAAAGTTGTGTCTGCTACACCCATAAAAAGAAAGAGAAGCTGGGAAGGTGGCTCAGTGGTAGAGCACTTGCCTTGCATGCCTGAGGCCCTGGGTTCGATTCCTCAGCACCACATAAGCAAAAAGAAAAAAGCTGGAAGTGGCGCTGTGGCTCAAGTGGTAGAGTGCTAGCCTTGAGCTGAAGAGCTGAGGGACAGCGCCCAGGCCCAGAGTTCAGGCCTCATGACCAGACCCCCCCCCCAAAAAAAAAACATAAAAGCTTGACATCTCGGCCTCTATTTTGTTTATGTTTTTGCTCTAAGCCATTCAATCACCATGGATTCCTAAAAAGACACGACTAATCAATAATGTCTTTATGGTAAGGGACCAACTATCCCTAAGGAACGACAATGTCTCCTAAGGTCAGGCCACTTACTAGACAACAATAACTTGCTTCAATGACAGATCATGATCAGCCAGACCACACTGCAACTGGGACTGTTTAATAATTATGCATGCCTCTCTCCTCCTGCTCCCTCTCCCAATTCTTTTATCTATAAAACCCGGAGACCATGTCTGTGCCCCTGAAGATGGCTCAAGATGTACTGATATGCTGTTTTCCCAGCCTGTGCAGTCTGTGCCTGTAAATACATCTGCTTCCTCTGCCCTTCATCAGGTCTCTTTATCTGGTGCGTAGGGATGGGTGCCAGACCTGACATGTACAACTATTGGAGTTTGAGTCTGATCTCAGCAGCACATGCGTGTAATCCCAGGTGACTTGAAAGTTTGAAGCTATGGCTTCATAATGAGACTCTCCTCCACATTCTTGAACAAAACAAAGGAAAAAGGAAAGAAGGGAGGAAGGGAGGAAGAAAGTGGGAAGGGAAGGGAAAGGAAGGGGGAGAGGGAGGAAGGAATGAGGGAAGGAAGGAAGGAAAGAGAGAGGAGAGGAGAAAAAGGAAGGGAAAGGAAGGGAGCCAACCTAAGTCCATCAACAAATGAATAAACAGAATGTAGTATGCACATACAATGGCATATTACTCAGACTTAAAAAAGGAAATTGACATATACAACACCACAGAGGAATCTTGAAGGTGTGATGCTAAGTGACAGGCCAGACAGCAAAGGATAAATAATGTACCATCTGTTTTTATAGAAAGTATCCTGGGGGCTGGGAAGGTGGCCCAGTGGTAGAGTGCTTGCCTCACATGCATGAGGCCCTAGGTTCGATGCCTCAGCACCACATAAACAGAAAAAGCTGGAAGTGGCACTATGGCTCCAGAGCTGGCCTTGAGCTGAAGAGCTCAGGGACAGTACCCACGCCTAGAATTCAAGCCCCATGACCAACAAAAAACAGAAAAGAAAAAGAAAAAAGAAGAAGAAAAGGAAGTATCCTGGGAAGTCAAATTCGTAGAAACAGAAAGTAGAAAATTGCCAGGAGCTGGGAAGAAGGCACAGGGGGGTTAATATTTAATAGATGTGGGGTTTCAGTACTAGAGATTGGAGGATGGTGATGGAAACACAAGGTGGATGTACTTAAGACCACTGAACTGTACACTCAAAAATGATTGCAACAATAATACTTGTAGTCCAGTTGTTTTTACCACAATTGTGTGTATGTGTGTGTCAGTTCTGGGGCCTGAACTCATGGCCTGAGCGCTGGCCCTTCGATTTTCCCCTTAAAATTAACACTCTATTACTTGAGCTACAGCTTCACTTCTAGCTTTTTGCTCGTTACTTGGAAAAAAGATCCAACTGCCTTTACTTCTCCAGGCTGGCTTTGAACTTTGATCCTCATATCTTAGCCTCTTGAGTAGCTAGGATTACAGGTATGAGCCACCAGTGCCCTGCTTGCCACAAATTTTAAAAAAGGGAAACAAAAACAAACAAAAACCCATAGTTCTCAACCCAAGGGCTAATTCTGAGCCAGCTAGACAAATATTACCTCTATTTACCGGAAGTTTTTGCCTTCCCTCCTGAACATTCTCCAAGGCAAACCCCAGCTCTGTCGCTTCACCCAGGGCCTGTATCTGTAGGGTGTGCAGACCTCTTCCTTTCTCTAGGATAATGTTGGAGGCCCTCCTCACTCAGTAGGCCTATGGCAACCATTCCAGATTCCTGGCTTTCCTCACTTTTCTTATCTCTTCTCACCAGATACCTAAAAGTGTGCATGCTGTGAATGGCAAATCACAGGATACAGCATCTTCAGCTTGCCCTGGGGCTGTCACTCACCTGCTCCCACGGGTAAAGCAGGGAATACTAGTTCTAATGGCAAATAAGACTGTGCACGTGAAAACAAATGAATATAGACCAACCAAGAGCTTACCCCTCCCCTCACCCCACCCAGCATAGAGAGAGGCAGGGAAGAGGGAAAGGAGGTAATGACAATCAACTATCTACACCTAAATGTGATAATGCATGAAATGGAAAGACTCTTGTTGTAAAGAGATAGCACCAGGTCTGGAATACCATCAAGGAACAATGGAATTGGATTCTAGACCAGTAGGATCAGAGGAATGAAATTAGAAGTTAGTATCCCTTTCCAGGACTACAGGTGTGCAGTGCTATGCCTGGTTTTTGATGCCTCCCTCCCCCCCTTTTTTTATGCTGGTCCTGGAGTTTGAACTCTGGGGTCTGGGCACAGTCCCTGAACTTTTTTGCTCTTAAACCACAGTTCCACTTCTGACTTTTGGGTGGTTAATAAGAGTCAGAAGGACTTTCCTGCCCAGACTGGCTTTGAACCATTGATCCTCAGGTCTCAGCCTCCTGAGCAGTTACAGGTATAGGTGTGAGCCACCAGTGCCTGGCCTCAGAGCCATTAAAAATACATTTAAAAAAATTTCTCTGTTTTATTTGAAAGATTTCTTTTCCACGTTTAATTACGGCAGTTGCTGCCACATTCTTTGCCACAGCTCTGGATTATTACAATGGTGACTGTAAAACCACTCCTTTAGGCTCGTAAAAGAACATTACTAGCCAAGGTTACAAAGCATAAAGCGGTAGCAGCAAGAACTGGTCAGGTCCACACTAAGGGACACTCTCTGGTGGCCTCCAGCTTTCCTGGGTGAGGCAGGCAGGGAGGGGGAGGTCTTCCCATCCCGGCTGAGGCCTAAGGAACTCCAGAACTGGTCTGGCCACGAAGGACAAGAATCAATTCTCTCCCTTTGGATAGCAAAAGGCCAACACCTACCTCCAGGAGAAGGCGTGGTCAGGAGGCTGTTCATCGCTGCTGGGGGGTGAGCACCTGGAGGGAGGGGCAGATCTGGAGGAAGGAAGAGAAAAACAAGAATGAAGCTGGGGACTTTTGGACGGGATTGTTGGGCCTAGAGATCCCGGAAAGGCTTTGGTGTCAGGTTTTCCTGAGTCCCTTCCCCTGTGTCCGTCCTCCTGTCCCCTTTTTAAACTCACCCTCAACCCTTCCGTTTTGTGTCTCCCTGAATCTCCTTATGCTAATCATCTCTCCTCCAGGGCAGATCGGAGTACTTAGGATGTGTCACCCTTGTGACCCTCACACCGGCCCCCCACTTTTACCCAGGAGATCTCTCAAGAGCCTCTGAGAAAGTTGGGCCAAGGCAAGCAGCGGATGGGATTTGGCCAAAGCGCGACTCGAAGTATTCAGCCGCCCGGGCTTGCGGGGCCGGGAGTTCGGCTGAAAGCCGTCCACTAGGTGTCAGGAGAGGGCGGGGGGGACCCGCGCCAAGCGCGGGAGCGGGGCTCGGACACGAGGTCGTCGTGCAGAAACCAAGAAGGGACCTCCCCCACACTCTGCCCGGA